ATGAGGGAGTCTGAGTGATGACTGAGTCTGAGTGGGTCTGAGTGAGAGGAAGTGAGGTGGTGTTATGTTCTCTCTCTCTCTGTTCCTCCGGCGCGGCCCGCCAATAATTACTCGACGCGGGGCTCCCCATATGTGCATTTCATTATCTTGGTACGTCTTTCCATTGATATCTGTCAATGAGCGCCTGTGTGCGAGGGCGAACCGCTCGCTCGAGACATTCCCACAGTCTGCAAGCATGAGTGCGACCAATAGCAAATCTGAGAGCGACTGATTCTGAGTGTGAGTTAATCTGGGTGCGATTGAGCCTGGGTTTGAGTGGGTATGCGTGTGAGTAAATATGAGCGCGAGTGCGTCTGTGTGCGAGTGGGTCTGAGTATGGACGAATCTGAGTGTGAGCCAGTCTGTGATTGAGCGGATCGTAGCATGATGAGTCTGAGCATGAGTGAGTCTGGGCTTGAGTGGGTCTGAGTGTGAGAAAAAGTGTGTGTTAATGAATCTGAGTGCGAGTGAGCCGAGTGTGATTGGGTATGGATGTGAGGCAGTCTGAGTGTGAGTCGGTCTGCGTTTGAGCGGACCGAAGGATGATGAGTCTGAGCAGGAGCGAGTCTGAGTATGAGTGGTTCTGAGCGTGAGTCTGAGTGTGAGTAAGTTTAAGTATGGATATGAGCGAGTCTAAGTGCGAGTGAGCCTGCGTGTGACTGAGTCTGAGTATGAGTGAGTATGAATGCAGAAGAGTGAAGGAGAGCGGAGAGCGAAGGAGAGTGAGGCGGAAGCGTTTGAGTAAAACCTAAAGCCTTGGAACATCGAACCTCGATCGTCTGGCCGTGGCTACTCGAGTTGCCCACGTCCTCCTCCTCCTCCTCCTCCTCCTCCTCATCATCATCATCATCATCATCATCCCCTTCCTGCTTCTGCTCCTACCGTGTTCATGCTGTCCTCCCTCCTCCTCCTTCTCCTCCTCCTCCTCCTCGTCCTCTCCTCCTCCTCCTCCTCGCTTCCTCCTCCTCCTCCTCCTCCTTCCTCCTCCTCCTCCTCCTCCTCCTCCTCCTCCTCTCTCCTCCTCCTTGGGAGTGCTGAAACCAGCAAATCGCCTGAGACATCCTCCCAAAACTGCTCCGAAAACGACAGATGCCCAGCATCATAACGGCCAAACCGCCTGAGACATCCCCGCAAACTGGGCGCGAACGTCCTCCAAATCTGCTCCGAAAGCGAAACATGTTGGAAGAGAAAATGGCCAAACCGCCTGAGACATCCCCACAAAATCCCGCGAAAGGGGCCGAGTGAAATACCCCCCCGCCGCTCCCCTTAGAGTGCTGAAACCAGCGAATCGCCTGAGACATCCTCCAAATCTGCTCCGAAAGCGAAACATGTTCGAAGAGAAAATGGCCAAACCGCCTGAGACATCCCCACAAAATCCCGCGAAAGGGGCCAAGTGAAATACCCCCCCGCCGCTCCCCCTAGAGTGCTGAAACCAGCGAATCGCCTGAGACATCCTCCAAATTTGCTCCGAAAGCGAAACATGTTGGAAGAGAAAATGGCCAAACCGCCTGAGACATCCCCACAACATCCCGCGAAAGGGGCCGAGTGAAATACCCCCCCGCCGCTCCCCTTAGGAGTGCTGAAACCAGCGAATCGCCTGAGACATCCTCCAAATCTGCTCCGAAAGCGAAACATGTTGGAAGAGAAAATGGAAGACGGAGGAGGACGGAGGATAGGGAGGAGGAGGAGGAGGAGGAGGAGGAGGAGGAGGAGGAGGAGGAGGAGGAGGAGGAGGAGGAGGAGGATGTGGCGCGTAGGCAGGAGGATGAGGGGGAGAAAAAGGACGCGTACGAACAGCAACAGCAACAGCAGGAATTGGAGCGGAAGGAGCGGGAGGAACAGGAGGACCAGGGGCAGGCGGAGGAGGGGAAATGAAGGGACTACGACGATGACAGGAAAGACAACGATGAAGAACGACTCGGATTCAGAAAAGTGGCCCGTGCTGGGGCGAGAGCGCCACTCTGTTTTGCAGGAGCAAGCGCCGATCTGAAAACGAGGCCTACGCTGCAGCGGGAGCACCATTTTGAAGCACCGGAGGCAACTGGATTGTGAAACACAACAGAAACATGTTTCGAAATCCTGTGTGGATCCAAAAACAGCACGCGGAGAGTGTCAAACATCTTCTGGACGGACTCCGGGGGGAGAGGAGAACAGTATTCCTCTCGCTTCGCGGGGTGCACGTCCGGAGCACGTACAGTCACGTCGTCGCGGAGCCTCTTGGGAGCCTCTTGGGGGCCTCCTGGAGGCCTCCTGGGAGCTTCCTTGGGCCTCTTGGGGACTTTTTGGGGGCCTCTCCCCCTTCACTCCTTTTCATACTCCCTCCCCATATTTCTTTCCAGCGCCGGCTCTAATCATGGGCGCCGCTGTGACCAACTTCCACCTGGCTGGCGCTGCGCCGCAGTTCGCGCAGGGTGGAAAAATGACATTACACTCCAGTCGCTGTGTGGCCTTTGGGGGGCTTCTTTGGAGCCTTCGGAGGCTTCTTGAGGACATCTTGGAGGCCTCTTCGGGTTTTTTGGGGGCCCCTTGGGGGCCTCTTGGGTGCCTCTTGGGGCCTCTTGGGGGCGCCTTTGGCTGTATTGGGGCGCTTTTGCGCCGTTTCGCCCCTTCGGAGGCCGTCTTGGGGGCCTCTCGCGGCCGCCTTGGGGCCGTCTTGGGGTCTTCTTGGGCCGTCATAAGGGCCTCTCGGACCGTCTTGGGGGCCTCTTTGGGCCGTTTTGGGGTTCTGTTGGGCAGTATTGGGGCCCTCTTGGGGGCTTCTTGGGTTGTTCAGGAGCGAGTTGGGAAGCGGCCTGGACCGCAAAGGCGAGAACGCTAAAATCTTACCAAACCAAAAGGAAGTCAATGATTTGGGCTTCTGGAGGCGCAGTTGTGGGCGCTCTTGGGGCCCTCTTGGGCCGTCAGTGGGGCTTGTTGGGCCCTCTTGGGGCCGTCTTAGACCGTCTCGGGGCTGTCTTGGTCCGCGCAGAGCCCATCTGGAGCCGTCTTGGCACCCTCTTGGCCCTCCAAGCCCAAGAAGTCGAAATCATGGATTTTCCATCGGTTTTGGTAGGTTTTTGAGCCCCGGGAGGGGGGGGGGGGGGCACTTTGGTTTGCTCCTGTGGCGCAGCTCCCAGAGGGGGGGGTAGGGGGGAGACAAAATTAATAACACAATGCGAGATGTGGCAACTATGCAATCATTGGATACATTGGGTACGTTGCATTATCGCCTCCGCAGAAAACTCTGCAGGGTGTTTCAGACTACGTTCAGTCCAGTCGTTGTGGGGCCTCCTGGGAGTCTCTTGGGAGCTTCTTGGAAGCTTCTTAGGGTTTTTTTTGAGCCTCTGGGGGGCCTCTTTGGAGCCTCTTGGGGCTTCTTGGGGACGTTTTGGGCCGTCTTTGGGCGCTCTTACGCCGTCTGGCCACTTCGGAGGCCACTTTGGAAGCCTCTCGCGGCGCCTTGGGGCTCTCTTGGGGTCCTCTGGGGCCGTATCGGGTCTTTTTGGGCCGTCTTGAGGGTTTTTTTTGCCGTTTCGGGGCCCTCTTGGGCCGTGTTGGGGCCCCCTTGGAGGCCTCTTGGGCCGTTTGGAGGCCTTTTTGGAGGCTGCTTGGGCCGTCATGGCCTTCTGAGAGCCAAAAAAGGCGAAAACGTTGAAATTGTCCCAAAACTATCAGAGAATCAAAGGTTTTGGCCTCCGGAGGCGCTCTCGGGAGTCTTCTTGGGGGCCTCTTGGACTTTCTTGGGGGCCTCATGGGCCCTCTTGGGGCCATCTTGGGCCGTCTTGAGGCCGTTTTGGACTGTCTGGGGGCCATCTTGGGCCGTCTTGAAACTTTCTTGGGGCCCCAAGAGGCCCAAGAGGCCGAATTTGTTGATTTCTCATAGGTTTTTGATGTTTTTGAAGCCCAGAAGGGGTCCGCCACCTTTGGGTCGACGGAAGTGGCGTGGCCCCTGGGGGGGGTTAGGGGGGGAGACATAATAATGTAACACAATACAATACGTTGCAATTATGCAATCATTGGACACATTGGATACGTTGCATTATCGCCTCCGCAGAAAACGCTGCCGCTCAGCACGTCACCTCCGGACGTGGATTCTACAGGCTTGCGCCACATCCGCCGGTCCCTATATCTACGTAATGGCCTTCGGCCCATCCCGCCGCCGTGCCGCGGTTGTGGGTCATAGGCCTCTGGGATGTTCGTTGGGGTCTCGTGGGAAGCCTCTCGGGAGCCTCCTAGAGGCAGTTTTGATGCCTCTGGGGATCGTTTTGGGGCCTCGTTTAGGCATCTGGGGAGCCTCTTGAGGCCTCTTGGGGGGCCTCTTGGGGGCCTCCTCGGGGCTTCTTGGGGCCGGAGGCTCGGATTTTCGGTTCGCGTTCCCCTTCTTGGGCCCCTCTTGAGGCTGTCTGGGGGCCCTCGTGGGCCGTCTTGTGCGCCTCTTGGGCCGTCTTGGGCGCCTTGTGGGGCCGTCTTGGGGCCCACTTGGAGGCTTCTTGGGCCGTCTTGGAGTGGTCTTGGAGGCTTCTAGGGACGTTATAGAGCGGCGGAAGGCCGAAAAGGCGAGAATACCAAAATCCCCCACTGATTGTTTCAGAACATTTATGATTTGGCCTCTTGGAAGTGCTCTTGGAGGGCTCTTCAGCCGTCTTGGGGCTATTTTGGGCGTCTTGGAGCGATCTTTCAGAGACTCGGGGCCTTCTTGAACCGTCTTGGGTGCGTCTTGGGGCCCTCTTGGGTCGTCGGGGGACCCTTAATCCCCCTAGGCCTGGGGGGGGGGTCAAATTCCCAGTTTGGGGGCCCCTGGGGGGTGGGGGAGAAAGAGTTTTTGGAGGGGAATCTCACGCGCCCAGAGACCCACGAGGGGTCGGCGGATCTGCGAAAGCCTTGGAAGTGCGCTCACGCGCCCGCGACCGCCGCTAAACAGGTAGACAAGATGTTCGCGCTCGCGGGCCAGGCGCTAAACGGTAGGTGATGTCGCATGCGAGGTAACCTCTTTTCTCTCCTCTCCACATCCTCCCAGCAGCTTGGCAGCGTGCAGCTAAACATCTGTTCAACTTTTGTGTTTAAACCAGCTGGAGGCGCAAAGTCCGGCCTCACTGAGAGGATCAGCTGGGATAAACATTGAGCAGTTGTTTGCATGGCTAATTTAATATGTATGTTCAGTCGGATCCGCAAAGGACGGCCTCACTGAGAGGATCGACTGTTTAAACGCAGATTTTAAACAGTTGAATTCGTTTCGCTTTTAACCCTTCGCTGTACGCTGCGCACTGGCGAAAGCGGGTACATGCCCTAACGTCCTGCTCTTCCTCTTTCTCCTCTCGTTCCTCTTCGTCTCACTCCTCGACGACGACGACAACATCGACGGACTACGACGACGACGTCGACGACGACGACGACGGGCGACGGACGACGGACGACGGACGACGGACGACGGACGACGGACGACGGACGACGGACGACGACGACGACGACGACGACGACGACGACGACGACGACGGACGACGGACGACGGACGACGGACGACGACGGACGACGGACGACGGACGACGGACGACGGACGACGGACGACGACGACGACGACTACGACGACGAAGTCCAGCGGCCTGGCGGTTTGATGGCGTCGCCGCGCCGGTCGGCCGAGCTGCACGCAGCGGCTCCGAGGGGCCCCAGGGGGCACAGAAGCTGCCTCCGGCCGCCCTCTCCCTCCTCGTTCGTCGTCGTCGTCGTCGTCCTCGTTCTCCTTGTCGTCCTCCTCGTTCTCCTCCCCGTCCTCCTCCTCGTTCTCCTCGTCGTCGTCCTCCTCGTTCTCCTCGTCGTCCTCCTCGTCGTCCTCCTCCTCTTCCTCCTCCTCCTCCTCCTTCGAGTTTTCTATCCGACTCGATGACGTACCAAGAGAATGAGATGCACATATGGGGATCCAGAGAGATGGGGTTCTTGTTATTGGCGGACCGCGCCGAGGGAACAGAGAGTTGATCTGTTTGCATAGGTGTGGACCAGGCCGTGGAGATGATTTCACAACTTGCCCATCGGCTTGCAGCGTCTGGTATGAAGTCGAAGCGTAAGGAGAGCAAGATGATGCCAGGCATGGGATTGGGGCCATCGCCGTCCTATGTTCTCTGCCAGCCATCCGGGCAGGAAGCGATGGAAATTCTTTTGGTGACCGAGACGGGTCTCCTGGGAACACGCTTCGATGCAGCAGCGTGCAGCGGTTTTGCAGCGCGGTTCTTCAAAATTGGCCGAGGTGGGTTTGCGTTGAGTTGGGCCTGTTGCACGCCAGTCACCGACGATCCGACGGCGCAGTTTCTGGCGGCTGGTCATCGGGCACCTCGGTATCCCGAGAGGCGGCTGGGTCCTGGAGAATGGTCGAGGGTCGCGTCGAAGAGGCAGTCGCTAAACTAAAAGCGAGCAGGAGTGCATAAGAAGGACTGAAGGAAGGAGGGGCATGGGAACGTGGCCACTGCGTTGTTGGTTCAAGCTTCCGCAGTTGGTTGCAACTGGGAAGTCGCTGGCGACCCCGCCCTCTGCAAGCATCGAGATGGGTTGCTGCATGGCGTCCTACCGGTCGCAGGCTGGGGCATTGCCAGCTCGCCGGGGGGAGGAGGGTGGAGGGGGGGGAGGAGGAGGGGAGGAGGAGGAGGAGGAGGAGCAGGAACAAGAGGATGAGGAGGAGGAGGAGGAGGAGGAGGAGTAGGAGGAGGAGGGGGAGGAGGAAAAGGAGAAGGAGGAGGGGAGGCAAGAACGAGAAAAAGAGGGGGTAGGGGACGGGAAGGTTGGACGATGAGGGGCAATTAGTCGGAAGAGAGATGCGAAAGAGGAGGAAGGAGGAAAGAGGAGGAAGGAGAAAAGAGGAGGATGAGGAGGACGAGGAGGAAGGGGGGGTGAGGAGGAGGGAGGAGGAGGGATTGGAGGCAATCTCCAGTTGACATCCCGCCCCCTGCCCCCTCCCCGCCTCCCGCCCTGCCCCCCCTCCTTGATCCTGACCCCCACGACAATTTCACAACATGAATACTACTCTCCTGTCTCCCCTAATGACGTCCGGAAGATATTCGCCCACTCCTCTGCGCATTGTTTTCTACACACAGGATTCCCGGGAGTTGGGTTTTCGCTGGGGCTTTGGTGTCAAAATGCTGTTCCCGCTGAAGCGTTGGCCTCATTTTTGGGCTTCCGCTCGTTCCGAATCGCGCTCCCGCTGCAGCGGTGGCCTCATTTTCCGCGTTTCCGCTCGTTCCGATGCGTGCTCCCGCTGCAGATCTGGCCTCATTTCCGCGCTTCCACTCGTTCCGAGTCGTGTTCCCGCTGCAGCGCTGGCGACATTGTTTCCAGTGCCATGCCACGGCATGCAACGCAATGGTAAGCGGTGTTCCTGTACGATGCCACGCCTTCAGCTGCAATGCTAGGATATGCAGTGCTTGACTACGCAGTGTGACGCCATGCTATGCCATGCTACGTTTTGATCTTCAACGCCATGCTATGCCATGTTCTCTTCTGTGCCGCTGTGCGATGCCTCTTTTTGCGCTGCAATGCTTTGTTATGCAACTCTTCACTACACAACGCAACGCCATTCTATGCCATACTACGCTCTGCCGTGCTCTTCTACGCTCTGCTACGCCGTGCTCTACGATGCATCGCGCACCCTCGGGATCATTGCCCTGCTCGATAGCCGACAGTGCGAATAGAGAGGAGATCTGCGCCATGGCAAGGGATGGGAGGGACGGGTAGGACGTCAGAGATGACGCGAGCGCACCAAGCTTGCCCTCACCCCCCCTCCCCTCCTCCCGCCCCTCTTCCGCGCTCTCCCTCTTGTGGACTTATGGACCTCCGGCTGCCCGGGTCTGGGGTCCGGGGTCCGGGGTCCGGGGTCCGTGTCTGGGGTCCGGGGTCCGGGGTCCGAGGTCCGGGGTCCGGGGTCCGGGGTCCGGGGTCCTGGGGTCTGGGGTCCACCTTGAGACTCCAAGGTCGATCTATAGTGCGGGGTCGAACTATAGATCGACCTGGCACTTTCCTTGGGTCGCACTATAGTCCAACCCATGATTTTTGGCCAGGTCGTACTTTTCTTCGCTCGCGCATTAATGGATCCCCTGAGTGAGGGGGCATGCGTCCCCTGAGCGAGGGGTATCGGCTGCATCACATTGCGCGCATGTTACAACATCCCGCAGCTGCGAAGGCTCGAGGGCACATAGCGCTACTCTTGCTTGCGCGCACTGGGGGTGGGCAATGGTCAAGGGCAAGACGGAGGTGAAGATACGGGCTTCTTCTGTGACAGAGGAACAGTTGAAGCCGCTCGTGAAACAGCACATTGATCTCATCGAAAAATGCCAACTGCAAGGGGGCATAGATGACTTCATGAAGAACAACATGCCGTTTCTCTTGCCGCTTGCGCAGCTCACCACACGCGTCAAATGGAAGAACCTCCAGGACGTCGTGTTGAAGCAGAAGCCGAACATGCACCAGGAAGAGTGTAGGCGTTTCTGCCAGGAGGTGGCCAACGCTTTCAGCCATGTTTGCAACAAGTTCTACATCGCCAAGACGGGGGGGAAGCTGGAGGCGCACACAAAAATGCTTGGGGTGGCAATGGGGCTGCAGCCTGGCAGGGCAAGCCCAAGCACAGGAGAGAGCAAAAAACGCGCCGACAGCAGCTCCGACATAGAGATGAACCCTCCAAAATCTTCCACGGCCGCCGCGTCGTCCAGCGCAGATGGGGGCAGCAGGCGCAATGTCATCAAGAACGCCTTCGGCATCAGCCCGCCTCCGAAACCGGCAGGGAAGAAACAGAAGGTTGCCACGTGGAGCCCGATGGTGGTGTTCTCGTCGCAGGAGGACGTCGAGCTCGCTGACCCGCCCGCCGCGGCCCCGAAGGAGGATCGGAGGGGGCGGGCAGGGTGGGGGGGGAGGGGAGCAGTTTTGATTTTTCACGGCGTAACCGAACCCCTTCGGGAGGGGAGCTCGGGAGGGGCAAGTGAGAGACCCGCCCCAGGATCCCCTGGCCACGTATTTCGATTTCAACTCCGAGCCGATGTGCATGGTGATGAAGTTCGCAGACAGGGAGGAGCGGGGAACACTGACGAAAGGAGGCGATGGTTTCTTGGATGCCGTGTTTCCCGACGGCAGGACGGAGAAGACGGAGCAGCCCAACGCCCTCCTGGCAGCAAGAGCGGCAGCCGCGCAGGCGAAGGCGAAAGCGTGCAAAAAAGGGAAGCCAGCAGGACATGTAGTGGCAAAGAAGCCTGCAATGAGAAAGCCCAGTGCAGCCGCCGCGAACACGGAGACGGACCAGGACGATGAGGGGGAGGAGGAAGAGCAGCTGGAACCCGATGAGCCCGTGGATGCTGCAGATGAGCCCTCGGTCGGCGCTGGGCCCCCCGCTGGCCACGCCGACCGCGGGTACAGCGTGATGTACTACAAGAGGGACCACTCTATCGGGTTGAAGCGGACGCACGGTGAGAAGAACCAGTTTGTGAGTTTCGGCGGGAAAAAGTACAAGGACACCTTGGACGAGGCCACGCTCAGGGAGATCGGCGCAGAGCTGAAGAAGGCCTTGGTCGACGGCACCGTGGCTGACACCAAGGAAGCTGCTAAGGCGGAGGCTGAGCGCTTAGTGGCACAGCGCTTGGGCGACTAATCGCATCCATCCTCATCATCGCATCCATCATCATCATCATCCTTACGGTCTTCATCGCCATTGCCATCGCCATGCCCGTTGGCAGAGCGCCCTCTCCAGTGCTAGACGACACCCCCTCATCGCAGGGGCGCCCCTCCGTGAGGGGGCCGCGCGATGGATTGGCGAGTGATGGAACCCCTTAAGAGGGGAACCCCTTTAAGAGGGGCTTCAGCACACTCGCGATAAGACAGGGCAACGGCCCCCTCCGAGAGGGGACCCCTCGGGGAGGGGATCAAAGGTGCGGCAGTCTGCTTACTCATTATGTGTATGGCATTGCGTTTCCTCCTCGTTCCATCCCTCTCCCATTTGCTTTCATGTTCTTCATCCGCAACCGTTCGACAGAGCTGACGCCCAGCGCGCTTGGGGGCCAGCCCCCCGCCCCGAGCTCGCGGCCATGCGGGGCCAGCCCCCCGCCCCGAGCTCGCGGCCATGCGGGCGCTCATCGTGTGCCTCTCGGCGCTCCAGGCCGCGCGGAAGCAGAATGCA